ACTGATTTATCTTCAGATGATTTACTAAAACACCAACGAGACAATGAATTAGATTATTTGGAGACGCTGCCCAAAACGTATTTTTGTGAGTAGAGGGGTCATTGAGTCTGCAGTTAATTCGTCTGAGATTGAATTTTATGAAGGTCCTAATGGAATTTTATTTGTACTTAATAAACTTTAACTACCAGGATATGTAACGTCTTTGAAACTTAATGATAAAAAGAAAGAAGCTATCAAACGGTCTTTTTAATAGTCCACTGAACGTGTTAAAGTGAGAGAAAAATAGCTAAAAACAATTAAAAAGGCTTAGTTAGATAAAGATGATAAAGAAAGACTTAGTTAGACAAAGGTAATAAAAAAATTGATAAAGAAAAAACTCAAAATATATTTCTGGAAGGTTTTAATATGTTTATATGAACTTTTTATTATGGTTTTATTCTTTTGTTTTATATATTTGTCGTTTCCTCAAAACTAAGTTTTGCCTCGAATACAAATCTTTAAAATATGATTAATTTTAAACTTGATTAAGCTTTGATTTAACTTTTTTTTTGCGATTTTTTACATAATTAAAAAAGATTCGGTTGATTGAAGGATATTTAAAACAAAATAAGGGAAGTACTTTTTTATGAGAAAAAATGCTGGACGAATGTTCAGCAATTTTTTCTGTTTGTTTTTATTTTTGTAACCTTTTATATATTATAAATAATAAAAAATGCTTCACTTATCTGGATTAATATACCTCATTAGTATATAAACCAATTTTCAGCTTGATATGAGAAATATTTTGATCACAAAAATTGCTAGTTTTTTCACTCTTATTTTAAATAACTGGGTAATCGAGTCATTATTTTTAAGTTGATTCTTTAAAATAGTTTAAAGAACAAGATTTTTAATGAAAAATATAAATCAAAAATCTTTTTCTATCAAAAGTTTGCCTTTGCTGTGAAGGACCACCTTAAGCTTAAGAAAAAATTTAAAATTTATTTAAAATCCATACTTCAAAACAACAATTTTTACCATGTAAAATAAAAGCTGTTTATTTACAGTTTTAACAATAGAATAATGTTATTTAGAATTGAGTATTATTATTTTGAAAAAGTGCCTTAAAAGTGTAATTGTGTCAAAGAAGGTATTAGAACTAAATGTATTTTTATCCAAAAATAAATTCAATAATGGATTTATTAGAATAGAATTTTTTTTTGGGCACGCTATATAATTTTGACCTACAAGACCCAGTTTAAACAGGGTTAAGTTGTACTAGAAATAAGATTATTTATTTAATGATCTTATCATCTTGAGACGAACGTTTTTTGTTTTTATAAAAGTTGATGCGCTTTTCTTTATACATTAAACATTAAAACGGCGCTATCTGGAAATTCAAATAGATTACAAAATATTTATGCACTTTCAACGGCCATCTCACCAAGTCTAAAAAATTAAAAGAATATCCATAGTTTTTATAGATAGGGAAAGACAAAGCAAGATATCAAACGTTTTAAAAATTTTGGGTTATTGCAAATTATAGGCCAATGAAGCAGTAATATTTTGTCAGTATCCTTGTTTTATCATAATGATTCATTGCTTCCATAAGTTTTAAGTTTGCAATTAAAAAAATTGGCTATTAGTCATCGGAGCACGATAGTAGAGCAAAATAAATTTGCGTAAAAAAAACAAACTACAAAATTACACCCATAAAATACCACACATTGGCATTTACCCTAAAACAATTTTATCTTTTAAGCGTGAAAAATAAAAACTTACGAGTGTATAAATACTTGAACAATATTAAAAAAAAAAAAAAAAACTTGGATTTTAAAACACAAGCTATATATACAGATTTGTTTCCACTCAATTTTAAATTTTAGACCCATTTCGTCATACTCTTGTTTTTTTTCAAAACTATTTGTTGTTTAACTGACAGATTTTTAACGGTACAATAATGGATTTATTAGAATAGAATTTTTTTTTGGGCACGCTATATAATTTTGACCTACAAGACCCAGTTTAAACAGGGTTAAGTTGTACTAGAAATAAGATTATTTATTTAATGATCTTATCATCTTGAGACGAACGTTTTTTGTTTTTATAAAAGTTGATGCGCTTTTCTTTATACATTAAACATTAAAACGGCGCTATCTGGAAATTCAAATAGATTACAAAATATTTATGCACTTTCAACGGCCATCTCACCAAGTCTAAAAAATTAAAAGAATATCCATAGTTTTTATAGATAGGGAAAGACAAAGCAAGATATCAAACGTTTTAAAAATTTTGGGTTATTGCAAATTATAGACCAATGAAGCAGTAATATTTTGTCAGTATCCTTGTTTTATTATAATGATTCATTGCTTCCATAAGTTTTAAGTTTGCAATTAAAAAAATTGGCTATTAGTCATCGGAGCACGATAGTAGAGCAAAATAAATTTGCGTAAAAAAAACAAACTACAAAATTACACCCATAAAATACCACACATTGGCATTTACCCTAAAACAATTTTATCTTTTAAGCGTGAAAAATAAAAACTTACGAGTGTATAAATACTTGAACAATATTAAAAAAAAAAAAAAAACTTGGATTTTAAAACACAAGCTATATATACAGATTTGTTTCCACTCAATTTTAAATTTTAGACCCATTTCGTCATACTCTTGTTTTTTTTCAAAACTATTTGTTGTTTAACTGACAGATTTTTAACGGTACCGTACCTAATGATACGAAGGATATTACGAGAATATTTTGTATGCTTCCGAGTAAATTTATTTTAGTCTTCCTTTTAAAATTCCTGGACCTAAAAATAGAGCAATTTTTTAAAATGTATATATATATATATATATATATATATATATATATATATATATATATATATATATATATATATATATATATATATTAGGGTGGTCCATAAAACAACTTTTTTGAGAAAATCCTGCTGACACCCCCTAAATGTGTTTTATCTAATGCAAAAACACTAGGTTTAAAATTTTTTTGAACAAAAATTATTTTTAGGGGTAGCTCAAGGCCCTCAAAAATTTGACAGGTCCCTAATATTTTGAAAAAAAAACTTTTTCTAAAGTATGTCAACCTGGTACTCAAAATAAGCAAAATTATATAAAAAATTTAAAAATGATAATAATTTTTTATAAAAATAATTTTTTTAGGTATAAATGCATAAAAACTATTGTTTTTAAGCTAAAAATAAAAAAAGTCAATATTTTCAGGTTTTTTGAGAATAATTTTTTTTAGGCATGTTTTTTATGTAAAATGATTATTATTTTTGAAGTTTTTATACAATATCGCTTCTTTTGAGTACCAGGTTGACATACTTTAGAAAAAGTTTTTTTTTCAAAATATTAGGGACCCGTCAAATTTTTGAGGGCCTTGAGCTACCCCTAAAAATAATTTTTGTTCAAAAAAATTTTAAACCTAGTGTTTTTGCATTAGATAAAACACATTTAGGGGGTGTCAGCAGGTTTTTCTCAAAAAAGTTGTTTTATGGACCACCCTAATATATATATATATATATATATATATATATATATATATATATATATATATATATATATATATATATATATATATATATATATATATATATATATATATATATATATATATATATATATATATATATATATATATGCATGTATATATAAATATCTCCTTTAAAAGACATAATTTTAAATGCAAATAACATTCAACTTAAAGCTGACAATCCTTCAATTGTAGATTGCATGAGAAATTTCAATTTAATATTTTGATAAGTTTTAATAGTTCGTTACACTTAATTGAATTTTTTATATTGTAAAAAAAATTCAATTAAAAAAATCAACTAACTTTGTTTTAAATCAGTAATCTAACTAATATATAACAAACTTTTTTAAACTAGTATATACAATTAAATGCATGCAAATGCAATTTAATAAACTTTTTCAATAGTAACATATTTACAATATTTATAAACTCAAAACACATTTTTTTTTGATTAAATCTTCAGGGTTTTGTCACAATCTTTTAGGTCTAAATTTAGTCTAATATTGGAATCTAGAGTCTGTTGTTGTAAGTTGATGAAGCTTTTTAAATTTTTCATATATGACTTTATTGCTGGAACAAACACTAAATGTGAAGATATATTTAATACAATACATACATAAGTTTAGTAAAATACAATACATACATAAGTTTAGTAAAATGCTATAAAAGTTTAGTAAACTTGTATAAATATATACAAGTTTATGCATTTTATATATATATATATATATATATATATATATATATATATATATATATATATATATATATATATATATATATATATATATATATATATATATATATATATATATATACACCAGGGATGCAGAGTCCTAAAAGGGCTCCTATGAAACAAAAAGTCCTTCAAAAGGACTCTTGCTTTTAAGCGTGAAGTCCTGGAGTCTATGCCACCTTTATACCATGGACTTCGGGTTCAAAAATTATTGTTCTACTAATGTATAAGTCTTGATTTTTTTGCCCATTAGTAGCCCTTAGGCCTTTTTATATCTTTAAAGCTACTGCATACCAAAAACTAGAAAGAAGTAATCTTTTTGTGTCCTTTAACTCCGCTGTTCTTTTTAGGGATTCCGCATCCATGATATATAGATAAATTTTTCATATAATATATGAAAAATTTATATATATAAATTATGAATTTATACCTAAATATTATGAATATTAATTAAATACAAACTATGACTATTATATACATAAAAATATATATGCAATAAAAGAAAACTAACAATAAAACCTCATGATATCTTTGTACAAATATACAGGATCAAATTGATATAGTTTTTAAAACCACGAAAATTAGTTTGTGTTGTAACTGTTGAAAATGATTGATTTTTAAACTTTAAATGTTGTTTTGATAACAAATCTTCAATGTCTGAATCAAAGCATTAATAAATTACATGTCATTTTTAGAAAAATTTAAATAAGCACTTTTAAATTTTTCTGAGAAATGACACATTTTAATTGTATTCAAATGCGCATTTTTACACATGATGTAATATTGAGTGAGATATTATTGAAAGGTATGCTGTTGTAAGGCTTCAGATGTTGACATCAATAGAGTGAGGTATTTTAAAAGTATGATCCAGAAGCTTAAAAACATCTAAAAACAAATAGATTTATAAGTAACTTTAAAAATTTGAACTCTATAACAATCACAGAACATTAAAAAGTACTTTAAAGAGCACAATTTAGTTTTTTTATTTTCCCCAGGATAAAAAACTCAATTATCTCTTTATTTCAAGTTTTTTTTTTAACCTTTGCATAGTACATTTTGTTTGATTGTGCGAATTTTCACTACAATAAAATTATAGTTGCTGTAAGTATCGTAATTTTAACTAACTTTTAGGACAAGTCTAAAAACTAACTAATAATTTAAAAGCTAGGTAAAATAATTGGGTTTTCCATGAATTTCTAAAATTAAAGAATAGAAAAAGCAAAAATTAAAGTATAGTGAATATTATAATATATAAGCAAAAATTAAAGTATAGTGAATATAAAAAATTAGTGAATTTCTTTGATTTTAAAGTGGAATTGAATAGGGATTGTCCATAAATTATGCAACGCTAAATTTCACTAATAAACAAAACATAAGAGATCAAAAGTTTTTTTCTCAAAGTTTTGTCATGTAAAAGAATTAAATATTATCTACTTCTTTTTTTAAAATAAACTTTGCATTGCAAATATATACCATAAAATAATACCATCTATAATTTTAACACTATATTCGTAAATAAAAAAAAGAAAATTACTAAATTCTTATTTAAAAATTACTTGCAAATAACAAGTTCCGCATCTAAACTTTGTCAATAGAGTTCTTTAAAATAGCCATCTCTAGATTAAATTTTGTCTTGAGTAAAAAGGACAAAGTCTAATCTAAAAATAATCTTTATGAATAAAATATTTTAATATTGTAAACAATTACTAAACAATTATATACTTAAGAAATAAATAATAGTATATTATTAATAACATTATTATAAGCTTGTTAAATTTGTAATGTTTAAGGTGAAATTTTAAGTAGAAGTTTACTTCCATAACTTAGATTCTAGCTATCTAGTATCAGAGTGGTTTAAATGAACTTTTACTCAATTGTTGAGTAGAAATCAATATAAATTACTTTGATTCAAGCCAGCTTATACCTTTTAGGTATATCACAAATTGATTTGTAAAGTTGGATAAACTTCAAAATTGATTGTACTCAAAAATATCTGTACACTTTTTAGTTAATAGCTTTTTTCGTGTAAAATTTGTAAATAAAAATTAAATAAAAAAATTTCAAAACTTTAAACACATGTATAATTATATAGGCTATTGATATATATTCGATTTCCATAAATTTACTTCTCAAAAATACAATTTTGTTTTAATATCAATTTTTTACTTCACTCACCAAACAAATTTTTGTCTGCCCAATTAACTTTGAACGAAAATTATTTTGAGCCGGCTGACGACGTAACAAAAAAAACAACGTAACGTAATAAAAAAAAAAAAATTATTCAAGTTACAAAACCGAACACGGAGTTGCAATAGCGAACAAAAAAGTTGCAATAACGAACAAGAGAATTTTTCAGGTTAGGCTTAATACTATATCAAGACTGAAGTTATAACTTTATGTTTTTGAAAGTTTTTTCAAAGATTTATTTTCATCTTCCATTTCAAGGTATCACTTGTAAGTTATGGATAGCTCTTATGAAGAGTTTACTAAAGTTAGGGAGGCATTGCACACTCGAAGCAACATTTTGAAATCTAGGTTAGCTGCGTTGTATACTATTAAATCAGTCAAGCTCTTTTGGGATAAGGCTGGCATTCCTTATAAACAAGACAAGTACAGTATTGAAAATATTTTAAGGCTACATGACAAATAGAGGTTGCTTGCAAAATCTAAAAATAGAATTTCTAATAAGAAGAGTTTACTTGAACAAAACTTTTTTTGATCCGTAGATAGCATTTTTGATATTAGTTCTCCTATTTGGAAAGATGGCATTAGAAAAACCAGATCAGCTAAGGATGCAGATAACGATATTGACTGGTTTACAACTCTTCAAAATGGAATCAAAACTAAAGGAATTGGTGTAAAAAACAATGTGCTACTTTGTAGTGTTAGGAAAAAAAAGAAAGAATCAAAAAGAAACAGGTGGCAATTGAAAATGAAAAAAGAAGAAAAATAGATGATGAAAAAACTGTTCAGTTGGTTGGTTATAGTAGTTATAGAAAATAATAACAGAATTTCAAAATAAGATTAAATCAGATTCTTTGACACTTCATTGGGACAAAAAATCTAATAAAACAAATCTCAGGGCAAAAGTTTGAGTATTTAACTGTTTTGGTCAACGGCTTTACTAATTGTGTTGAAGAAAAAATATTATCAATAAAATCTATACAGTCTAGTACAGGACTTGCTATTTGCTTTTCAACAAGAATGGGATTTTAAGATAATAATATATTTTCAACAAAAATGGGTTTTATAAGATTTTCAACAAAAATGGGTTTGATACATTAAGATTTTCAACAAAAATGGGTTTGATACAATAAGATTTTCAACAAGAATGGGTTTGCGCAGAGAATATTTCCATGAGTTCTTTGCAAACTTATGTATTTAATGGTTTGTATTTTATTACTTTTTATTACTGTGTTTTGTTAAACTTCATATTATTTTTGTTATTTTACGAATTTTTATAACTTCATTATAATATTACGTATTTATATTATATTATACTCAATACTAAAAAGCATTGTAAAGGGCTTCATGATAAGATCCTCATGATCTTCTAGAAGTCCTGCCGCTAAATTTGTAATATGTTAATAAAAACTCATTCCAATACGAAAGCAAAGCAAATTCAACAGAGCTTTCCAGTTTTATGTGGGAAATTAAAAAAAAAAGATATAAAAATCCTATTATCACATGGAAAATTATCGACAAAGCGCATCCGTTTGAACCCGGAGAAAAATCATGCAACCTTTACCTAACTGAAAAGTATCACATAATAACATCAAAAATTGTCAAACAAAAGAAATGAGCTGGTATCAAAATGTTGCCATGAATACAAACTTTTTATAAACAATTTTAACGTTATCACATGGAAAATTATCGACAAACCGCATCCGTTTAAACCCGGAGGAAAATCATGTAACCTTTACCTAATTGAAAAGTATATAATAACATCAAAAATGAAATTGTTAAACAAAAGAAATGAGCTAGTATCAAAATGTCTCCATGAAAACAAGTTTTTATTTTTTCTCTGAACTTAGAAAAAAATGAACTAATATTTTTTTCATCTCCAAGACAAAAACTTTAATACAACAATCTTATAACTAAAATTAAAATTAATAATAAAAGTTTATATCCAACACACGTTGTTAAATATCTTTGTATTTTTATAGATCTCTTATGGAATTTTATTTTTATTAGATCTTACATGGTTTCGTATAACTTGGCCCATAACATTAAATCCCTTGATATAAATGTTTTTTTTTAACATATTAAGCATTCTGTTAACTTTATAACTAGCATAAATAATTTGATTAATTTATTTAGCATTACTTGAAACAAATATGCCAAAATTTTTTTTTACATCTGATTTTTCTAAATCATAATATAAATAGTTAGTTGTATCTTAAAGAAAATAGTTTAAGCGTAGGATTTTTCTTCCCATATGCATAGTTTTACATTTTTTTATGTTCAGATTCACCAACTTTACCTTTTTCTATTCAATTATATTATTTAAATTAGTTTGAATGTCAGTGGTATCATTAGGAATAAATTTTACTTGTAGCTCATTCATTAATTTTGAATCATCTGCATATAGTTTACTGACACATTTTAAATTGTCTGGCAAGTCATTGATGTAAATTATAAAACGTATTGAGCCTAAAACTGAGCCTTGTGGGACACCGCTAGTAACGTGAGCCCAATCAGATATGTTTCTTCAAGTACTGCTCTCTGTTCTCTATTAGTGACAATGTCTTAATCCAACCGAGAAAATCTCCAACTTTTCCATAAGCTTTAAGCTTGATGATTAACAATTTGCAAGAGATTGTGTCAAAAGCTTTTGAAAAGTCTAGATATACCACATCTACTGCATTTTTGTTAGCTAAGCATTTTATAACATAATCATTGGATTATAATAAGTTTGTAACACATGCTTTATTCTTTACAAAATCATGTTGAGTTTGAGACAATAAATTTAGTTTTGAGAGATGTTTTACAATGTCATTACTAAGCTTTCCATTTATATTCATGCAATAGATGTAAGAGAAACTGGTCTATAATTACTTGGTTCATTTGGTATAACCTTTTTTAAATAATGGAGTAACATTTGCATTACGCCATGCATAAAGAATCGATCTTTCTGGTAGTGATTTATTGATTATGATTGTTGAAGGCAAAGATAATACAAAAGTACTTTGTTTTAATATCATCGGGTGTACATTGTCCGGTCCGGTTGTTTTATTTGGGTTTAAATTTTTTTATTTATTTTTGATATCATATATTGAAAAATGAGGGCTTGATAAACGCTCAGTTTTACGATCTGAAATTAGTAAAGAATCTTTGTTAACTAATTAGTTGTTGAAGACTGATTTAAATTGATCATTTAATGTGTCTGCAATGAATCTACCATCTGTACCAGTAACTTCAAATTTATTTCTAATCAATTTTATGCTTTGTTTGATTTTGCGTGAAATATTAGCATATGAAGAGGATTTTAATTTTTTGTATTGTTCAGATGTTTTCCACTTTGAAGATTGATTTCATAATTTATTGTTTTTTATTTATGAAGATTAAAAGGGTACATATGAGTCAAAAAGATTTGTTTTTATTTTTACATAAATTACATTTTGGTACAAACAAATTGTGGTTCAAAATTCAAAAAAAATTGTAACTGACATTTATATATAAATTGCTTAAATCTTTTAACCAGTCTATATTTTAAAAACATTTAATCATAGAATTGAAATCACTTTTATGGTAATTGTACTTGAATGTTAAATAATTAGTTTTATCTTCATTACTAACCCTAACCCTAACCCTAACCCTGATTCACCTACTAGTACCAACTCCACTTTTAAGCTATGTTTTATATGACAGTTGCAAAATGCCGTTATTGAGACATCTTGAAAAATTAAAGTAAAATTAATTAATTATGAGCTACATTTGTATAATTTTAATTATAATCGATGTCTAGAAGCAATATAAAGAAGATTAAAAGTAAAAAAAGAACGGGAACAACGCTTTCTTCTACACAGTAAGATGAATAACTTAGAAAAGGGCAGTGATCGCTACGCACACCGCGACACAGTAGTTACCATTTTCCAATCTTCAAGATATGATTGCATTCCCGTTTTTTTTTTTCTTGTTTCATATTTTAAACTGAATAATTGGTTTTTCTTTTAATTCGATTTTTTAATATTAAAAAAAATATTTTTTATTAAAAAAGTTATTAACTTCATAATTAAATTAAGAAAAAATTAAATATAAATACAAACATTGTATATATGTTTTTTAGCGCTTTTAAGTATTTAATAAATTATGTATTTATTTAAATAAATTAATAAATACATAAATTGTTATAATAAAGACCTCTTTCCTCGAAAGTCCATATACGGCACCTAATTTAAATTTAGGTTTATCAGATCCACCGGTGGATCCGATAAACCTAAATTTAAAAAATTTATTTTATACTTATTTAAAATGTATTTACTCAATATTTAGTTAAGTTTTTAGGTTTTTGTTTTAATAAAATATATAATTGTATTTATACCATCATTTAAATGAATTCCATCTATTTCCAAATCGTTTGCTTTGTAATAAGCCCGTAAACTCGAAAGTCCATAAACGGCGACCAAATTTTAAACTAAATTATTTATTTTGATATTCTAATTTTAATAAAAACGTATAATGTATTATCCAGTAATTTAAATGAATTCTATCCATACTGTAAAAAGATAATGACTTAAAGATTTAAATTACTGTATAAATTACATACAAACTACTGTATTGATACATTTATAATTACTGTATAGATAAATATAAACTACTATATAAATACTTTCAATACAATACAAATACAACTTTTATTTTAGTTATCAATTTATGCATTATTTATGTATTTATTAATTTATTTAAATAAATACATAATTTATTAAATACTTAAAAGCGCTAAAAAACATATGTACAATGTTTGTATTTATATTTAAGTTTTTTTATAATTTAATTATGAAGTTAATAACTTTTTTAATAAAAAATATTTTTTTTAATATTATAATAATAAATTAATATAAAAGAATATTTTTCAAACAATTTGCAAGTGATCGTAGAACATTTGGAAAAGTCAAATTTTCTATATCAGTTTTATTCTCCAAGGCTAAAGTCCAACATCAATCCTCACTAAAGTTTATTGCATTTTCAAAGTCGCATTTATATAATTTT